TGTGTGTGTGTGTGTGCGTGCGTGCGTACCCTCGCTCTCGCTCAGCTCGGGGATCTTCTTCAGCGTCTCTCGCACGGCAGGGATCACCTGGTCGTACATGTGCAGCAGCGGCCTGCAGCTCTCTGAGAAGCTTCTGTGATGCAGCAGCAGCCAGTGCAGCAGCAGCAAACACTCTCTGAGCAGAGACACCGCCGGGCTGTGCCACCACGGCAACGAGGGGGAGGGGGCGGAGCAACGCGGCGTGGTTGAGGGCAGACCTGAAGGAGCAGCGATTTTAGATCAACAACACTTTCACACACACACAACTGTGCATTTTTCTTCCAATCACAAATGTGACCGACCTGTTGAGTCTGTCGGCTCCCGAGAACCACGAAGATCCAGCCACTGACGATGGAAAACAATCACGACTGTCTGAACCAACTGAGAGAGACAGACAGGACACGCTCATGTTGAAAGGAGCAACACAAAGTCTGATGTCACGATATAAAGAAGCAGAGGATCAGACAGTTTCACCTCCGTGTCACATTGACAGCTGCTGTGCTGGTTCGTGTTCCAGCTCTCAGATCTCTGAGTCATAAGTCTGCTCAACAAACGAACCACCTGAGACACACGAGAACAACAACGACCATTCAAAAACGATCACAACGAAAACTCTCGAGCAAAAACTGGAGCTTCAGTGTTGAAGTTTGGACAAAATAGTTTTTTTTAAGACCTACTACAATCATAACCCTGCTTCTGTCCCTCGGAGTGTCCTTCAGGGCTCAAATACGTCTCTGCAGTGTATGTGCATGTGTGTGTGTGTGTGTGTGTGTGTGAGTTACCTGCAGGTCCAGCAAAATCCAGTCTCTATGTGTTGCCTGGTTGTCTGGTCTGATTCTGATATAAAGGAATAACTTGAGGAAAACACAGGGATCTGAATAAAACAAAGAAACACTGTTTAAATTCAGCAGAAGATAATTGTCATTTCATTTAATCACAAACTATTTGATCTAAATACAACGATCGAATGAAACATTCAGATTCAGTTCAATCTTTCAGAGCTCTAGTCGCACTAGCCGGTCGAGTCAGCACAGTGTCGATGCAGTGACCGAGGACGAAGCCTCACCGTGCTGAGAGCAGAGCTGCTGAGCCAGTGTCTGGTGGTCGGACATCGTCATGAGGACGGACACGCACTGTGTCATCGTCCACAACCTGCTGTCTGCTGACAAACACGCACACACCACCTGTAACACACACTGCAACCTGAGACACACAGAGAGACAAAGAGGTGAAGTCTGACCAGTGGTGAATCAATGAAGGGACCAATTTATCAGTTTCGAGGTTTCTGCAGTGAAATGCAAAAATGATCCAGAAGCAGCAGATTCTTTGAATCTCCGAGCATCAAAAGGCTTTTCGTGTCTGGACTGAATCTAGAAACGATTTTAACCTGACAATCTTAACACCAGGGATTCATTTGTGTCTCCAGTGGTCACAGTGAGTTCTGGTCGCTCTGTTGATGGTGGCCATCAGTAAAACTTTATTGCTTTTTGATTTGTGTCAACTTCACTTAGGCTTCTTTTCTGGACAGTTTGTGTGACAGATGAATCATCGTCAATTCAGGAGAAAAGCTAAACCTTCGCTATAAAGGTTTTTGAGGAGTTCGTTCATACTTCATACTTTTTTTGCAACATTTCCAGGATCGTGTACAAGTGGTTACCTGCTGCAGATCTGTCATCATATTTGTACAGAGTTGTGTGACAGCACTGACTGTGAATACCTGCGGCTAGTTTATGGTAAAATGTTACATAACCACTGACAGTTAGTGGAAAGTTTTCAGCACTCGCACTCCCTGGTCGGCCACTCCTCCACCTCCAGCACTGTTCCACCCAGCGGAGTGTTGCATCAGATGTGTGCATGTGTTTCACTGTTTACTGTGCAACATAATCAGTTTTCTGATGAAGCCTTAAAACGGAGCACGGGTGATCGTCAAGTCACATCTCAGTTTCAATGAAGCATTCACATGACTTCGCTGTGGATCATCAATTCTATCAAAATAAATGATCAGACCGATTGTAACCTCTGTAGCGGCTGGTTGTTGTTTAAGTTGTGGTTCAGAGAACTGACACGTGAATACCTGTAAAATAAACAGTGCGTGTTTGCAGTCACTCCTGTTAGTGTGTGTTTACCTGTGTGTGTGTGTGTGTGTGTGTTGTGTGTTGTGTGTGTGTGTGTGTGTGTGTGTGTATTAGGGCTGTCAGTCCTCCTATTATCCAATTAAATACATTAACATTAAAATTATATTTGAATTTTGAAAATATAATCAAGCCTATTATTTTACAGGCTTATGCTTTACCAGTGCCACTCTCATCATCTGGTTGTTATAAGTTCTGTCCACTAGAGGGCGTTCTAACATTAGGTTACTAATAAACATTTGCTATTGCCAGTAGGAGTGTTTTTGTGTGTACCTGTCAGTGTGCGTCTTTGGCGTCCTCTCAATCAGGACACACAGTGTCTTCATGGCGCTGAGGACAAGCTCCTCCTTCAGTGAGCTGCTGCTGTCGCCAACACCAGCTCCCGTTTCACACAGACGCAACACTGACTGAAGCAAGGCCTTCTGGGAGCACAGACCCGCGCCTGCAGCAGATGCCTCTGTCTACGAGCAGAGGCAGAAAGAAAAGAGGATTTCATTGAAATGTTTTCTTGAATCTCTGTCCTGAAGGGAGATGATCAGGTTATTACACATTTTAAGACAAACACAAAACATAAAAAGCTTTAGTTCTTAAAGTTGATGATTCAATATCTCCATCTCTGAAGCGAGGAGGGAAAGTTCAGTAAGATAAATAAGGTGCAATGAAGTTAAAAGTGAGAGCTGTGCGTTTACCTCGTCGTCTGTAACTCTGCTCTGTCTCTCTTTTGAGAACACAGTCTCCACCACCTGAGGAGCAGCACAAGGGTCAAAGGTCAACTACACCACAGGAAGATCGTCATAAGGTCTGTGAACTGTGCACAAACAACATCGCTAGGATTCGTTCAGACAAAACTTTATTGACGTGGAACACACTGAGGCTCAAGGCTGCACTGATGTGTTATTTTTGTGTGTCCTACAGTGTGAGGAGTGTTCCTTTGCATTTTTACAGTTTTGGACAAAATAAGACATGTGATGACACAGACCAGGATATTTAACTATTTTAAATAATGAATCATTAGTTACAGCTCTAGATCAATGCCAGCCATGATTCAAAGTTAGACTGAGCGTAAAATACAAGGTTAGTAATCATCACCTCATCACTGTGGGCCAGCAGCAGGTAGAGGAGTCGCAGAGAAGCCAAACCAGTGTCCTCCACGCTGAAACCGGACAAACCAGCCTCCTCAAGTCGTCCCAGTCCAGCAGTGGCAGCAGCACGGCCTGCTGGGAGGGAGCTGCTAGCTGCAGCGTCCGAACCACGGCCGCCAGTCGAGTTGGAAGGGAGCGAGTCGAGAGTCTGACAGAGTCGAGACAGGTGAAGGTCGAGCAGAGGGAGGAGCAGGACGGCACCGGGACATGACCTACAACAAAGTTAGATTTTTTTAATTTTTTTATTTGAGCTCAGATATTTCTTAGTAACCAGAATCAGATATTCACAGACACTATATTTGTATCAGTGGTTCACAAATGTTAAAAATAGCAGCACAGAGATGAGACAACACCCAATATCAACCCACACACCACAAACACATCTGTTCCATTCGTCTTTCCATTACTTGTTTCTCTAGTCGTTTACCCTCCACTCACAGTGGTTAGTACAGATATTGATCGGCATGAAATGGAACAAGAAAACTCACAAACTGGAAAATATTTTACATTCATATGACAAACGGCTACTGTGAACTATCATGTAATCAGCTGCCACAAAACTGCACATGCATAATTTTGGTGTATCATGCTGAGGTCCTCAGATATGTCTGAAATATAGCCAAAGGAAATGTTGCCTCATTTTCATCTGGTGGAAATAAACAGCATAAAAATGGGAAAAAATGAATCCTGGGGCAAGTCTGTGACCACAGTGCGTCTTTACTGCCACGAGAATTTAAATGCTGTCACACGTTTGGCCAGCAGAGGGCTCTGCTGTCCACAGAACAGTTCAGCTTTGAACGAGTCAGTATCACATCATCAGTTCTTCAGTGAGCAGCAGATGTTGATGAGGACAGAAAGTTTGAGCAGAGCAGATGTGACTCTACCTGTGGTTTCTGCTGCCTTCAGCTGCTGTTCGGCTTTGACTGAGCATGTTGAGTCCAGTTACAGCCAGAGTCTGGACCGGACTCAGAGCAGCTCTGGTGGTGCCGACTCCGCTGACACCTGCTGCTGCATCAGAGTGGAGCAGAAAACCTGCAGACGGCCCGCTGAACACAAGACACATCACACAAAATAAGAAAAGCGGCAAACAAAGTGTTTCATTACTGCCCCAGATCAAACACTTGATTAGAAGTCTCCCAGCTCCTCCTGGTATCGTACATATATTACACACTATGCATGTTTCAGGCTCCACTCACACCAAGTGAATTAATATCCTCAGAAGAAGATTAAGCAACGAGCACATCCACGAGTGACTAACTGTTATACGTGCAGGGTGTTTACCTGGATGTGGGGTTGATGTCTGTCAGACTCATAGAAAGCAGGTGAGAGAGGCTGAGGCTGCTGGGAGACAGAGGATGCTGCAGTAACAACCCCAGCAGGACGCCACCTGGAGGACAACACAGAAAACCTTCCATGACACTGTTGGATTTGTGGAGGAGGAACAGTTTTCTTCACTCATAAAGGAGAAAGAACGCATCTAATGTCAGACTATGTTTCAATCCTGTATATCAGTAATGTGCTTAATGGATAATTCACTTTAAATGTGGGTTATTTAGATGTGAGTGGGTTGAGTCTACTGTTGTGTCTATTATCAAACCTATAAATACGTATTCATTTACATTAAACCATTTGATCAGGTGCTGACGGACCTTGGTGCTGCAGCTGAGCAGGTCTGACAGACAAGAAGGGGTCGGGGCGAGAAACTTCATGTCTGTTGTCACCAGATCTGCTGTTGGACGGCGTCCTCTCTCCTGAAACACACACACGTCAGTCAAAATGTTTAGATCTCTGAACATCTGTTCCAGGTCCATGTGACTCACCGTCTCTCCTTGTTTTCACAGGTGTTTTCACTGGCGTCACTCTGGTCGGGAGCTGGGCTCCAAATGTCTCCTTGGTGATGAAACCATTTCCTGCTGGAGAGGAGGAGCTGCTGCCGGTCCCATGATGCAACTGGGCTAGAGAGCTCAGAACTTTAGGACTGAGGACAGAAGGGACGAAAGAGAGAGAACAGCCCATCAGGTGGGACGCGAGCAGATGACAATCGATCATTGTGATGTGATGAAAAACACACAAGTAAGTCCAGGTCACTTCAGATGTTACAGTGACAAACTTTTGAATCTACTTCAGTGTGACCTTTGACCCCCTGACTGTCACATGTAGTGTAGGAAAGGATTAACAGATGTTTCCTCGGAAGTCTAAGAGGAGTCGATGAGAGGATTCCCTGAAATCCTCTGACGTCAGATTTAAATTCAGTAAGATTTGTTTTGGTGGATTTGGTGACATCATGTGGTGACTCCTGGTTCCATAAAGTGGTTTCAGAGAAGACGCTAAAGTGTAGCCTTAAATACAAGCTTTATTTTGGTAAATTATGTTGTTTGACGAAATCCAAGGGCTGGGATTCTATTAAGCGAAATTACACTCACACAGCTCAATAATACTCTAAACACACTGTGTATATTCTAGTTCTTTAATTAGATAACATTTTGAACAATAACATTACAGTACCAGAATGAGTGAAGCTTGTGTTGATAAATAAAATACTGTTGTTAGTTATACAGACGATGATTTACCTGTTTCTTGTCAGTGGAGACGCCGTCTTGTTTCTGTCTGAACTGTGCAGCTTGGTCTTCATCTCATTGATCTCAGCTTCTTTAAACTGCAGCTCACACTGCAGAGACTGAACCTGCACACAGACAAAATGTCACCATCGCCTTATTCTGAGAAAGGTTCTGTATGTGCGGTGAATGTTTTTCAGGTCCTCACCTTCTTGTTGAGCTCCTTCTCCCTGTCACTCTGCTCCTTCTGCCTGTGAGCCTCCTGCAGCATCTGGTTCTGTCTCTGTGTCTCCTTCTCCTGCTGAGCTGCTTTCAGAGAATCCCGCAGTACACGGATCTCCCCACTCTTCAAAAATATTTCATCCTCAACCTCCTTCAGCTGACGACACACACACAAAATCGAGAGCAATAAATTTAACATAAATACATAGATATCCGTTTCAAAAACTACCAACTGTGACAGACTGAATCTTTGGGGAAATGAAGCACAAGACAGGTAAAATATTTCCATCTGATAGAAATTCTAGTATTGGGTTTTAATATTTCACAGTGTATTTACTGTAACATGAATTTTATGTAAATATAAGTGTGCTGTATATATTGTAGTGTGCCCTCTCTTTTATTTTCTCAAGAAGAATATGATGTTCACGCTGGAATTTTATGAGCATGAAAATATCAAAAGACTGATTTTGTAGTTATACTAAGTTTCCTTTTGTATGATTTGTAACAGCAGCTTTCTTTACCTGCCCCACTCATCATGTGTTTGAATATCTTATGTTAGTCTCACCTTCCTCTTCAGCTCGGCATGCTGGGCCTCGAGCTGACTATGGGTTTCCTGTCTGTCCGACCCAAACTGCTGCTGCTGCCTGTTGACTGAACACACAAAACAACACAGAAAAAATATCACTCGACCGCTGCACGACACTGCAGAAGTTCTGCTCCTGACAGTTTGTGAATTGACTGTGACAACCAGATACATCATTTATTTTCTGGTCCAATCGGTGTTACTTCTACATTTATTGATAAAATTCTTTCCCCATTCAAGGTGGAAACCGTTCCCTTCAAATGGCGAGGTTTTGCTCTGAACTCACCAAGAGGCTCTCTGCTTGGTATCCCAGCATTCCCTCTGCTGCTGAACCCAAACGTGTTCTCTCTGCTGTGCTTCGTTGTGGCTCTGTTCAGAGGTTTGCTCTGCCCTGTGCACGACTGCCAGGCCGACTCCGCCGGTTTGTTTTCTGGTTTAGACCCAAGCCCCGTTCCAGCAGAAGCCGAGGTAAAGGCCTGCGAGGCGATGATGTCAATTTCATCCAAGTCGTCTTGGGTGAAGTCCTCGTCATCTCCAAACGGGTCATCGAAGGCTGCCGCTGTCGCTACTTCATGATTTAAGCCTCGGTGGCGCTTGGTGGGAGGAAAATTCATGCTGTGAGGGAAGAAGAGAAGGAGCAAGCACGTTAACCAGCTGACAGCTCTGACCTTTGACCTCCAAACTACTGCTGGTTAACAGTTTGTTGGTCAGAGTAGGAAATCAGTCCTCACTGGCGACTTAAGTTACGAGGCGGCTGGTAAATATTTATGAAAACAGTGAGAAAATCCATAATATGTGAACATAAATCTATATTTTTTTAACCGTATGACAAAGATATAAGGTTCAGTTCAGCTTGTCTCTGCATTAATAACAAATACAGGAATTTGAGGAGTTTAGAAGAAAATAAGAAGAATAGAAATGACAGATTATTCCAGGTATTCACACTTAGTCAGATATAGATAAATAGAAGTTTAAATAAAGGATTCATTTTGACTCTTCGATATAAGGGTTGAAACTATTTATACACGAACAAAACCTTAACAGAAGCTGCACAAGAACAGCTTGACTCATTCAAATGCTTCCTTATCGTTGTTGATTCTTTAAACTTTTACAAACTGGTTTGACTTCATTCAGCTGACTGATGGATCCAGTTTGACTTCGGCAGCTCGGTCCAGGTCGCACTTCAACAGACAAACTCTCAGCTCAGGTTCAACAAGAGCTTCAGGTTAGCCAGTGAGCTAACGTGTGCATCGTTTACCTTGTTTCTCTCTCGGTGCTGCAGCTGGAACTCCTGATGGCAGTAAGCTAACAGCTAACAGCTAACTCTCTGTGATTCCCAATGGGAGTTAGCCCTGCTATGCTAACACGGCTCGCTCCGCCACAACAGCGTTTAAATCTGGAGCTACGCTTCATTAAGGATTTTTCAGAGGAGTCTCGTACTTCACGCCGTCCCCGGGCTCTCAATCGAAGGAGTTGCATGAGTTGTTAAACCGTTAAATAGAAGAAGTCGCAGTTTGACTCTGACAGGAAACAGAGCTTCAGACATTCAACCCGCTTCCCTGCCGCTGACATTCTGACCAATCAGAGAGCGGCGCTGACGCGTCAACCAATCAGCGACGCCCGTGCAGTGACGTTGTTGGTCTACGGGTCTCAGCTCAAGACAAACTGCACCAAAAGCGCAACGTGAGAAAAAAAAACGTGATTTTATTCTTTAAAAAACAAAAGAATTTAGGTTTTTCAAAGCGCTTCGACTTTTTCTTATAGAAAAAATGAATTTGGCTCCATATTGACAGTGTTGACTGTTCACTCTAAGCTGTGTTTTAAGTAATGTCTTGAGTTTTATGCATTTGTTGTTCATTTATTTTGTATGTTTTGTATGTTCATACCTGTCTGCATTGAGCTGTTTAGTGCGTTTGTATTTTTTTGCATCAGCATGTGCATTTTGTTGTTTTGTGTAATTGACTGTCATTGTTTGTTTTTTTTACTTTGCAGCATCTTACAGAATGCTGTACGTGTGTTGTCAAATTAGTGAAAATATATATTTTTCATGTTTCTCGTTATTTAGACCATAGTCCATACTTTAAATAATAAGCTGCTATACCTGCAGCTGGTGAACTTACCTGATCACAAAAACAAGAGGAAGCACCTGTGAACAGAGTTAGACAAAATATAACACATAGACTGTGTACGGCCCACAAAAAAAAAAAAAAAAATCTTAAATCTTAATTCTATGATTTAAGATATGGGGCATGTGTTTCCTGGACAGGTGCAGTATCTTGATTGAATCTCAAGAATAAAACTCTTCATCCACTCAAAGACCCATGATGACTTGTGTGAATTGTTGGCTCAACCGTGTCTCCAAGATGCACATGAGCAATTGATCTCTGATAGCTACGATTGTAAATATTATTCCATCAAACATATTAAACAGGTTCAGTTGAAAAAGTGGAAACAATGACACACAGGAATCCCAGTTCTGTACAAAAGTTATAATATTTACCCACCAGCACCTCTTTAAAGCTAATTTATGCACATATATGATGTGAGTGTCAAATGAATGAATCAACTTTTCGTCAGCTCCATTCCTCTTTCCTCTGGATTTTGGCAGATGGATTGTCAGATGGTTGTTTACAGAGATTTTACTGAAAAAATCTGTAACACTGAGCAAAGCAGCCTGTGATTTACAGGGATTTACAGGAGTTGGCTGAGATAATGATATAATGTTGGCTGTTCTCTCCTTTTCCCACTTTAATTATACAATGAGGTTTTTTTACATTACACAATACATTTCAATATGTTTTATTTCTCAAATCTTCTAAAATGTCTCTTCTCCTGCTCTTTATTGTCTTTATCGGTTTGATTAATTGTTATTGTATTAAATGTTACCAGGAAATCAAACGAAAATGTTACAAGTGGTACAAATATTTGAAAAATTGTCAAGTGAGAATGGGTACGTCTCCATGTCCCCGGTGGAAATAATTACATTTGTTAATTAAATGTAGCCTCTTGTTAGCCCCTCCATGTTGGCGAGTAATCAGCTGCCACAGTTTTTATCCACATCTTATTTGAAAGGCTGGTGGGTGTTGATTTGAATCCCTGCACGTACACGCTCCTCATACAGAAGCTTCTGCAGCTTCTCAGCAACAGCAAGAGTGCTTTCCATTTTTAGACACAGACAGGTCGGTGTGTCGCATCCGAGCATCTGTGTGTGTGAATGTGTGTGTGTGTGTGTGTGTGTGTGTTTGTGTAACTCTGACACACACACTCGCTCTCTCTCTCTCTTTTTTTCTCTCTCCCCACCTCCGTAGAGAAATGGCAGAGCTCAGGCATCCTTATACACCCGTCATCAACACGCACACACACACACACACACACACACACACACACACACACACACACTTAATCTTTACCACAATCCACTATCAGATTATAGTAATATACAAACCTTTGATCACATAAGTATACATAATATATGTAATAAACCAAAACACACAAACACATCTATATGTATATATATTTATTTTATTTTATCTTTATCCCCCCTGATATCTAAATCATTTATTTTTACATGTTTCACTTCTCACACCTTGTGATTCTTTGATAAAGGCAAAGGAATAATTGGCAGACGAACTGGTTACCATAACAACCAAACAGTCAAAGCAGGGTCACTCAGAATGAATCCGATGAAATGAAGCCTTCGCAGACGTCGGTGTGTTTTCACTGCAGATCGGGAAGCTGTGCACAGACGTTTTCTGAGTCTGTGAATGTGAAATGTTTCTGACGGATGTCTCAGGAGACACCATCATGGGACCCTGACCACTGTCCAATCAGAGTGCGAGCTGTGTTCATATTAGCCTATTTTACACAAACAGTCCAAGGCAGGAATGTTGGACCTTTATTCCAGTTCTCTCTCACAGGTACAAAGACGAACTCCTTCACCCTCATGGCGGCAGCAGACGTATATTACCTGATCCAGCATCATCAGCATCCTGTTGTATGAATGTTGTGTTACACATCATGCCTCTGAATCACTCAGCCCCTTTGAAACAGACATTCTGGTATTTTGCCGTTGACAAGACCTCGCTGACCTCATTATGTCGTCTTAAGTTGTTTACACTGAACCGTACAAGTCGGCATATTTCACTGTAAGGGCTCCTGTAGAATCAGCTTCCTTTATCAATCAGACAAGCTACCTCAGCGTCTTCATTTAAAACAGTTTTAAAATACATTTTCATACAATGGTTTTCAATTAGATGTTTTATTCATTCATCAGAGCGCTTCCTCTCACTGTGACACAGCTCTAATTTAAACAGATACATTATTTGTAAAACGTTTTATCTCTATCATGCACTTTGTACATTTGTTTATCATTATTATTAGAATATGCTGGTGATAAGGTGATAACTGGTGCAATCTAGTCAAATTAACATTTACGTTAAAGTGACTCTCACACTTATTTAGACTTAAAAATTCATCTATCTGGATGAAAGAAATCTTGTTTAGGGGACTGATATTTGTGAGTGTGTGCAATGTGGTGCAGAACCAGATAAACATCCAGATCCAGTAAATTTAAATGTGGTTTCATTGGGGGTCAGTTGGACCTTGGTGGAGGTATGTGCTCTTATATAACAATCAATTCTCAATGTACAGTATTTTAACAAATACAAATCATAAGAACAGTGGTGATGAGAAATACAAATATTGATAGCTCTTTAATCTGAAGTAATAAACGTCATATTTTATTAAACATAATGTTCCTTTCACATCATGTTGCCAATAGCAATAAAAGCTGCATGAATTAAGGAAAATTGCACGAGGACAACAATATGATGATAGTATTTCATGTCTACCAATATTGTAGATTTGGACAATATGCAACTATAAGAATGTTTGCAGTTATTGAAGCACATATAAGAGAAGATGACGATTTTAATCCAAATGAGGTAAAATAAACATATTTTATAAGATGTTTATTGCAGACTTATTGGACTGAAACTACAAAATCAGTGATGTGTTTTTGCACTTTGGCCACAGCCGTTAACAGCTGCTGCAGTTCATGCAAACCATCTGGAGTCACTGTGCTTCGTTGGTTCGATGCCCTGAAGTCTAAATTTGTCAAAAATGCAAAGAACGCAATAGTTTCATAAGACTCTGTTTGCCCAATAGGCCACTATTCAGAAAATAGATTGCATTAGTCACAATGATGAACAAAGACTTTTGCATCTGTGCATCGCATCCAGTTTGGACAACATCAAATTAGTTTCTCTGTCCACACCAGGGACTGGACACAGTGGATCTCGACTCAACTTAAATTCAATGAAATTCAATTAAAAATACTGTAATCGTCCCCCTTCAAGCAGGAGACCAAACATGAGCACAAAAACAATTCATCCACACAAGATAGACAAAAATGAATACTGACAAATACAAAAATACAAACAAATATTTTATTTTAAAATAGCCTACTCAAGGATAGGTTAAAGCATCTATCAAGGTAAATGATCATTTATTTTATAAACAGGCAAACACATTCCTGATGGCGGCAGCTGGAGATGATCATCGAAGACTGTGTGTGGGGTCATTGATTATCTTGTGTCTTCTTAAAGATTGAAGCTGGCGAGAGATTTTTGGAGCTTGCAGTTCTGGTCCATCTGACAGAGGGATTTAAACAGCCAGTGTGAACGCACCTTCATATCGGATCCAGTCTCTCTGAGTCTATTTAGATCAGGTCTGATCTCCACCTGAGGTTCAGGTAGATTCTCTCAAACATTCATGACATGTAATAATTATAATTACGTAAATTTGAATTTCTAGCTTCAATAACTTCATCTGTGTATCCTGTGCAGACTTTTTGAAACGATGGATCTGGACTAAACTGCCAGTGTGAACGCACCTATTGGATCAGGTTTCCTTGTGTCTGTTTAGACAAGGTCTGATTTCCAGATGCTTTTTTTAACGATAATTTGTCCACATGGAGTTCAGGTGGATTCTTCTTAATTCTGGACCCAATCGTCAGGAACACGAGACCTCTCATAGACACACTGGAAGAACTAATCCCCCATCATGCCTTTAGCAGCATCTGGTGGGAGTTCCTCAATGAACAGCTCGTAGATGGACGGTTGGATGGTGTGTTTCTCCTGTTACCGTGCATATTGCTGCAGTACAGGCAGTCTCCTGCACATGTTGAGGCTTCACTGAGGAGTTTTCCGTCAGGGAGGAAGACATCCAGAGGGAGACCACCGCGTCTGATTGGCTGATTACCGCTAAAGGCCGCCAATCAGGCACCATCCTCGCCGTGTGACTGCGTGTGTTTCCCTCTCGCCTCTGAATGCACTGTGTCAGTCTGCGCATATTTTTATGTTTGCAGCATTGCATGCATGCAAGAGTGGGAGAGCGTGTATATGTGTGTGCAGTATGGTAATATCTGGAGCTGTGAGGGAGGGGGAGGGGCAAGGATAGAGATGCTGTAGAAATTCATGGAAATAGAAAGAAAGAAGGAAATATAGACAAAGAAGGAAGAGGGACAGTGAGGAATGCACAGATGTTGAGGAGAGGGGGATACAGAAAGGCACACTGAGCAGAGATTGACGGAGAGAGTGACGAGGAGGAGGAGGAGAGGAGGAGGAAGAGACGATCTGCTGTAGGAAGCAGCAGCATCGTTGATTTTCACAAGAACCAAGGCAGCTCTCCTCTGTTGCCGTGACGATGGGCTGCTGGCTCTCTGGACCATGGATGGGCGACCAAGCGGTGAGCGACCAAAGACCTGCCTCCACTGTTGTTGACAACAAATGATGCTGTGTGTGCTTAATGTTTTGAAGAAGATGGAGAACGATCCATTAGGCCTGTTCACGTTTGTCCATGTGAGTGTGTGTCCATGTATGTATGTGTGTGTGTGTGTGTGTGTGTGTGTGTGTGTGTGTGNGTGTGTGTGTGTGTGTGTGTGTGTAGATGCAGATGCGAAATGGCAGCGTTTCATTATTTCTGTACGATTCAGCATTTGTTTGAATAATAAACCACATGAGTGGGTTTAAATCTCCAGCAGTTTCAATGTTTTTTTTCTAAACACCTTGAATTGTCATGTAGCGTGCACAGACGTGGTTCATACGCGTCAAACACTGAAGCCTCACAGTCGTTCTGCTGCTGTCCTCTGTCTCCACACACAGGTGCCATTTTGTGCTTCCCAGCTCATGCTGTGTGTGTGTGTGTGTGTGTGTCTGTCTGTGTGGTTGAATGTAGCAGTGGGTGACTCATGGTTGTGATGTGCTAGAGTTAACGATACTGTTCATGCGTCTAATTCGATGGCCGCTGAGCTGTGTGTGTGTGTGTGTGTGTGTGTGGGCGTGCACAAGTGTGTAAAGCAGGATGGGGTTTGTGTTGCCTTATAGGTGTTAACCCTTTAGTGGAAGCATGGACACCGTGTACACATTCATCGTATTTGACTTTGGTGGCAAAAAATGTTGGTCACACTGGAATAAATCCACCATCTGTCTGCAGGCGGGGCTGAGTCTTGTGACCCAGTTGCATAATGTCGAAATATTCAGACTTTTGGCTCAGTTGTGTGTCAAAATAAAAAAATTAAAAAACGGAAGTGCAGTTAAAATGGCAGCATGGAGAATAATCATAAAATTTGATTGTGGTGTCGATGGATGCTGTTACGTCAACATGCGTAGCGGAATTAAAACATCGTACTGTGAAACTGTCATTTAAATAAAGTTCTTACAAGACACAGATCAATAAAAGAATAATGAGCAGGGTAAAATGTTCTCATAATGCAACTGCTTCACACCGTAACATCAGGCACTTCTTAAACACTGACACACTCTAGTTTGTAACACAAGGTTTCTGTTATGAATTCAGGTTCTCCCAGCTAATAACCCTGATGATGATGGTGATGATGTCACCAGGGGTCATTTTTTTAGACGTCCAGAGCCACAGGACAAACTGTCTTCACAGGCCGAGTTTAGTCACGAACATGCAAATGGTATATGGACCACATTTACATTTCTAGTCTTAAAGAGCACTCGAATCTCACGCTTCCATGCCTTTGACACGAGAACCGGAAGAGCCGAGAATAAAACCAGCGATCCTCTAATTAGTGAACAGCCCACTCTATCTCATGAGCCATAGCTGCTCCTAAAAATAAATAAAATACACGGAGTGTCCCTTTAAGTTGTTGATGAGCCTTGGACAAAAATGTGCTGCTGTTTTCTGATTTGAATTTGCAACAACTTGTCTTGTGAACACAACGTATTCAAAAAAAGACTAATTTAAACGTCTCTCTGCTTGTGTTTTGAAGTCACTCTCTTTAGTTAAATACAGTTAAATACTCATCTAATTGAATCATCAATTGATCGTGGTCTTTAAATATATGTGTCTAATTCGAGAGAAAATCCAGTAACATTGGCCTCTGCACTAAAAATGTATGAAAATGCTTTGCTGCTTTCATGTGCATGTGTGATGTAGAGATGTTAAACTGCTGCAGAGTTCATCGAAGAAAAAATATTGTTGAACATTTTGCAAAGTGATATACAATTTTAACATGAAATCAGGCCTGAGGCATTAAAAAACACATTCTCTCAGTTTGAGAGATGTTTTTTCATTATAATCAGAAGATTTAAGTTTAATTTGGAGTCAATCACATTCATTATTACTCTCACTAATATAATTGATTGTGTGAGTCGAGTAGCAACATGACCGAAGAGTTTGAATGCAAAAATACACGTGAGTGTAAATCTATAAATCTTTATCTTTCGATTACAAAGAAAATGTTCAACCTCGTATGGACATAAACCTTTAAATAATGAGCTACATATTTGATTGAACGTAATTATTGTTATTACATCTTTGTATGTAAATCAAGTAGATAAGTAATTGTCCTTTAAAATGTTTGGAAATTGTGTAATTCTAACAGTTGTGTTGTTAATTCATTGAAATCTTTATTCAAATTTAAGTTCCTGTCTTTAGCTCCTCGTTTTGGTTTTACGACACATAAACAAGACAAAGTCCAACACGTGAAGACAGACAGGTGATGGTTGTGACCAAACAAGAGTTCTTCCAACATTCGCATCATGTTGCTCAGTGTCTGCCGGACGTGGGGACTGGCCGGTTCTTGCTAATGTCACACCACTTTGTTGTTTGTGCTTGTCTCAGATGAGTGGGCGGAGTCTAGCACACCTGAGCCAGCGGGATGCTCTGCGAATCCTGGCGGCCAGTCAGCATCCAATCACCATGCAGATCAAGGGTCAGAGGGGGTGTGGCACCGAGGCAGACAGGGGAGCGTGGGAGCCCCTCCCCCTCAATCTGCAGCACCTCAACCTGCCCCTCCCAGTGATGGGGGCTGGACTTAATGCCTCAAGCCCTTCCTACCAGGACAGGTGAACACACAAACAAAGAAAAAATTATTTGATGAGATTTCAACATCCATGAAGATGTCGCTCAGTAACGAGTTTAAAAAAAATCCAGAGTCTTGAAAATATGAATTCTGTTTTGTTGTTGTCCATCACAGACATTACTACAACCACCTGTCTCTGCCACAAGATCACTGCGACAGAGGACGGTACAGCTACCTGTCCAGCTCCCCTGGGGACACTGTGGACATCGGTCACCAGGTGATAATAAACTTTTTTTTGTTATATTTTCATGAAAAGCAGCTCAGTAGTATACGGTTTAATCTGCATGGGACCAAAAGACTGACTAATATTGCCCACATGGCATTTATCAAGTTGGGCTGACAAAGGTAACATTTAAAATTATAAAGGAAACATTTTGGCTGCATTTTGGTTTCCAGTGTTCAAAACATAAAATTAAATTAGAGTCCAGCAGGAATAAAATAAAAGAGATAAACTGGGTGACTGTAAATTCTTTATCCATAGGAACACTGAAGGTTTAGTATAGATTTGAAGAAGTCTCACAGCTAGTAAATTAAATCATGTTTCTAATTTTCTGTCTCACATCATGAATCCTTCAGGATCCAGAACTGAGCAGTCGTCGACCAAAGGAACAGAACTGTCTGATGGGATGTTGCAATACCAATTTAGAAGAACCGAACCGCGGCCACAGTCAGGTAATCCAAAATGATTCATATCATCATTTCTTAGTATCTATGTCAACATAATACAGTTTCAGTGTTGACCCAAATAATGTCTTTATCTTTATAATGTTTTATGTGTATTTGCATAAATGTTTTTGGGATTGATGACACAATGTTTTTTGTAGACTGATGATGAAGACTTTATGCTGGAGAAGCCACTGGGCTTCCTGCCTCTCCACCATGAGCTGGACAGTGGGCTGGGTTGGACCGATGGCTCACTCCACCAGGGAGACCTCTCCGGGCTGGAGACTGAGGAGGGAGGCCTGGAGGACTGTCACTCACATGGGGTCCTTGCCCCAGGCAGTTGTGGGGGCTTCGGGGGCGGTGGCTCTCCTTCATCTGAGTCCTTCATCTCCTCAGAGCTCAGCGACTCTGGCTTCTACAGTGTTAGCACGGGTGAATTCAGGCACTTCCAGAGACTCCTGGAGAAGCGAATGCGCCTGTACAATGCCAGGCTGCAACATCAGGGGGAATCATGTGAGAGGCGGGAGAGGCGTGACAGTTGCCCCAAGAGCCACCGTGAGCTGCTGGAGGCCATTCCTGAGGCGCTGACCATGCAGCCACAGAGTCAGCACCTGCAGCTTGGGATGGAGGAGGCCGATGGGTCGGTCATGGACCTCCCACCCCGTGGACTTTTCAGGTAGCTGCTCACAGAATACATTTCCCTGCAAAATGATAGACTAGATGTAATAAGAAAATCTGCGCTCATTAGTCTCTGTAGCTGGTTTCCCAAAGTTCTGTCAGGCTGGTGTTAGGCCAGTACTTCACATATCCATTTTGACATATCAGACCATTTTTACTTTACAAATTTGACTTTGTATTACAGCTGAACTACAATGTGTAAACTGTCTTTATTAAACCATTCCCTGACTCGTTCGTTGACATCTGTGCTTTAATTTTCAGGGTTTCATCGGTCCAGTTCCATAAAGCAGATCGACCCTGTTTGAACCGGCACAGCTCCAGTAGTGGAGCCCTCTTCAATCCTTCTCATGCTCACGCTGCAGTCTCACGAATGACTGCTCCGGTCCTCTCCACCTGCAGCACTCCCACCAGCCACAGGAGACCACTGGTACCTATACAGCAGCACCATCAAGGCTCTAGCTCAGTGGGGATGCTGAGGAGAAGCCGAACGCTGCACCATCGTCCTCCCCCACATGAGTATCGACGCAGGGCCAGTCACCCAGCATCCCCTTCTTACTGTGCAGCAACCCTGCATCACTGCGGAGGTGTCACGCCACATAACGTCCTGCCTCCAGGTTTGCCAGAGGAAGGTGAGCTAGTGGCCGGTTTATTGTCTTCCCACCCAGCAGCCCTTGCCATCTCACCCCAGCAACATTCCACTGCTTTGGGGCATATGAGGCCTGCTGAAGCCCATGAGCGATGCTACGACAACAACAGCCAGATCTCTCACCATGACTGGTGGCACTCGCAGGAAAGAGCCTTAATGCCTCAGCCAATGCTGACAGAAAGGGACAGAGAGCTCGAGAGGGAACTAGAACAAAAAAGGCAACTGCAGAAGGAGTTAGAGCTAAAGAGGGAGAGGGAGGCCCAGATTCAGGAGGAGATGGACAGAGAGAGGCAGCAGGAGCTGGAGAGGAGCCGAGCCAGGGAGCAGCAGCACCTCCAGAACCTGGTTCACCCTTCTCAGGCTGGAGATGTCAACGACACTTGGCCAAAACCAGCTAGTCGTCAGTCCCAGGGTGGCGGAGGAGGCAGAGGGCTTTACAGCACCCTGGAGGGCTACATCGGCCCTGGTGCTGGTGCTGCTGCTGGATGGGAGGCAAAGAAAGGACACATTAATGCAACGTCAAGCCCTAATCCCAGTTCTGGTCTGCAGCCAAAATTCACCCCAAGCTCCAAACCCAACCCAACCTCTCGGATGTCCAGGAACCAGCTCCTGAGGGACCGGGCATCTCAGCTGGCGGATGAACGCAGCGGAATGAGCACTGATGAGGAGACCAACACTGACATGCTGATGGGTCGCTACTGGAGTCGAACAGAGAGGAGGGAACACTTCCTGTTGGCTCGTGAGCAGAGGCAGCAGCAGCAGCTGCAGGCCAGAGGAATGGCTATACGAGAAGCTATCAGCAGAGGAGGAGCCATAACAGGAGGAGGAGGAGCCGCTTTTGGTGATGCAGGAATGCTGGACAGCAGGGGAGTTGGACCTTTTGCAGAAGGACGGTGCAACACTGTCCTGGAGCTGAGTCAGAAGAAACTGAGTCGTATGAGGAACAGGAAGCTGCTGGATGACTGGACGACAGTAGAGGAGCTGCTGTCTCATGGGAACAGGTTGGACAGCCATGGGGACATGCTGTGTCCCAGCTCCCTGCTGACGGTCACCACTGTCTAACTGCATGGACGCCACATCTAACTGTAACTGTGTGTGTGAGTGTCTGCGAGATAAGATATAAATCAGGCGTTTTTATAAACCTTGTTCTGTCTTTTTCTGAGTGAGAAGAGAAGATGGATATCAGCTTCATCTGCAGGACATTAGCCAAGGTTAGCGCTAACTTACCCTTCCCCCAGCCACCAGGGGGTGCTTAACTATATGAAATAGCTATCTGTTCATCTCATTTGAAGGAGGATTTGCAATTACCTTTAAACGTAATGAAAAATAACATGTAAATCAATCAGCTTTGGAGTTATTGGAAGGTATGGAGCTAAGCTAGCAGGTCTGTTTCTCTTACGCTGGATGTTGTCCCACTAACAAACCTGTTAAGCTAACTTGGTTGTTTTATCATATTTGGACTAACTTGTGACCATTGGATCAAATATAAATCGCTGCATCAGCATAGCCAGAGGGTCTGGGTGATGTAAATTTGTTCATCAAGTTGACTCAAGCCAAAAACATACTTTGTACATGCTTAGCGATGTGTGGATGTCATATTATATTTGTGACCGCACAAACTGCATAAGCCTCCAGCACAGGGCGGACTGACCCGCTGTGCCCTTGTATTGTTGGGATGTCAGTCATCTGCGCACACAAGGTCCTCTTCGTATCTGAATCTTGAAGCTCAAAGATGAAGCTGAGACTCGTCTTCTCATGTTACTCAGTGGAAGAAGCAGAACGAGAGGTTTTATGGAAATGTTGGACTGTTCCTTTAATGAGTGCGTGAGAGAGGGAACCTCACTGTCATCGCTGTACATCACCTCAACCGATAGCGTTTTTGTGTGTGTGTCACCATTGTACAGCACTCCGGACAAAATGTGCGTGTCAGTGCATGACGCTTGAAATGACAAACAACAGAACAAGGTCAGATGAGTGTGTTTGCATCACGTGGTTCATGCAACATCTCACGCTCCGTTTATTTCACAGAATCTTTGACAAAAATGTAAAAAAATTTGGGACTTAATTCCTCAAACAGATCATGTCATTTTGGGGAGCAATACCGTTCTGCGTGCTGTATACCTGGTTGTGCACTAACGATAGATCACATACAAATACTTTTACGTCACAGAACACGTCAACTGTAGCAATGCAGACAGTGAAAGCTGAGATTTGATACCAAATCCTGGATAGTTTTTTATAGAAACTCTGTTTACAATTAAGAATAATAATCAGTGGGAGCTTTTGTAACTCAATGATAAAGACACAACCTGATTCACCTGCTTGTGCAGCACTAGTCAAACTGTGATGATCACAAATGAGGAACAATGCGCCACAGAGGTTTGCAGAGGATGTCGATCACAGCTTCAATCTGCTGCAGAAGTTTAGGCTGCATTCACATCCTGTATTTTAAGTCCTGCATGAACATGTTGCTCAGCTGAATAACATGTTTACATCAAATTCCAACCGTGAGGTTTGAAGAATTTCCGACAGCTCATGTGTTCAGGAACTTCCTGCATGTTAAAAAAAAAGAACAGCAGCAAAATGGAACAGAAAACACTCCGAGGTAAACAATACACATAATACAACATTTATACTTCCCCAAGAAAAATGTCAATCAATAACAAACATTTTTGACCAGGGTGAGACGAAATATTCGTTATTGATTGGAGGTGGCTAGCCGACGACACAGTGCTGCAATCTAGTCTAATCTAGTCAAAGTCCTGCACTGTACAATCTTACTGTTTTGCGTGAATGCAGCACAAACAGAGTGGCTGGCTTCCTGGCTCATGGCTCCTCGTTCCTGCAGGTGTCTTCACTGTTGTCAGGATGTTTACAGATCTACCTGCCCAGGTAACAGCTTATGCACATTTACTGAAATCTGCAGCGTCTCGTTGACTGTGTGCAGGCGACTTTAAAGACGAGTCAACGTTAGGTCGTCCAGACTACACTGCGGCGTCTGTGCAGTCAGGACAGACAAAGCTCGAGTCAGCGTTGTTGACATTCCACTACACAAGAAGGAACAATGTAAATGTAAATCTGAAATCTACTGATTCCAGGTCTGCCGTTTGGGAAAATGTGCAATATTACCTCAAGCTAGTTTTAATATGACAATGATAGTGTTGTGTGCGCTACCTGACAGGTCTCCATTGAATGCAGTGACAGATGCACAAAAGTGGCGAATTACGACAAGTGCACAGTAATCCTATAATCTAAAATGGAAAGAGCAAAGTTTATGTAGATATTCATATTATTTCTCTACATTTTTTTCCATGAGAGGGACCTAAGAAAACAACTTTTGCACATAGTTTTTTATACCTAAAAGTTTTCCCAACCTTTCTCTACCAGGGACCTAGGCCAGTGGATCGACTGTAGATAGAATGACAGTGTGTGTGTTGATGTTTTCTTTATAAACTATCATAGTGATTTATGGAGGAAAAAATACTGTTTATTGTCATTGTGTTGGACATATTTCAATATTTTCCTTGTGATGGTTATAAAAACAACAAGAACAGTTTTTATGACCTTTAAAATCAAACTACTTTATTTAAAAAGCTGGTGAAACTTTGATTTGCCTTTTTCAAAGAGTGAACACAAATTGTGAATATTATTGTATCTTTAAATGGATAAATTGAATTTTACTGTTGTTTTGTGTCATTATGACATGTACATATTGATTTTGTCGAAAGGTACAGATAAGGGGCCGGGATAGTAACAGAACACGCTGACGCCATCAGACGTCTCCAGTGGTTTGATCATGTGCTTCTGTAGGTTTGTAGCTGTGTGACGGAGGCTGTTTATACAGCGCAGAGATTAACATTGTAGTATTAGTACATATTAGTTTGACACTCACAATATTGTCAACATTCATAGAAAGTGGTTCAGTTTGTTCTGAATGTTACATGTGACATCCATGACATGAATTATGAATACAATCACTGACGCTAATTCTCAAAGGAACTTTAAGATATTTTCAGATTAATCTTCTGTATCGTCTTCTCCAGAGTCAAATGTATTGGATGGAAATTAGTTTTTATTCTGCTTGATACAATTCGATACAATACAAAATGGATATGATACAATACGATACAATATTGTACAACACTATACAAAACCAAACGATACCATAAAATACGATATGATACAACGAGCTGCGCTACAATCGAGGGGGAAACTGAATGTCACTTTACACATTGGACAGAAAACAAACAAGAGAAATTCACACAAGACTCAAATCAGATCAAGATAAAAGAGGAAAACACGAAAGCAACAAGTTTTGTCAATGTGACATGTTCATAGATATCAACAACCCAACAGCATCAGATCATCACCATCAGTGACGGTCAATGAAGAGCTAATTCAAAACTCCAGTGGGAAAAAAAAAAAATGCTATAAATACAAGTTGGAAAAATTGTATTGACTTAACTGATGATTACTTTTAGTTGATTTAGCAGCAACAACCTGTGCAGCCGCAAACGTCTCATTCATGTGCCCGACAGCATTTTTGTGTACATTTTTTTACCACCTTCCCATCTGTAACCAGGGGAAACAGCACACACGCACAAATCAGTGATGTGGCCGCTGATTCAGAGCTGGGCGTAGCAACGTCCTGGTTACCGGGCGTAAGCAGTGGATTTGTTTAAATCCGACAGTGCTGGAGTTTCTGAAAGGTGGATTTTTTTCCCCCCTATAGACTCGCAGTGTGTTTGTGTGCTTCCAATTCTGCTAAGCTAAGCACGTCCTGCACCCATCACTGTGCTGGACAGATGAAAGTGACGTCCATCTTGTCATCTGACTCTGGAGAAGAAGGAGTGTGTTAAGATTTACAGATTTACAGACATTTCACAGTGTTTTTTTTCAAAACACTGAGATAAAGAAAGAGGTGCTGGAGGTTTGATTCCACACTTCCCCTCCCTCTCTTTCTCAGCTGTGACTCAAACAGTCTGAATAATGGATGACGAAGAGAGAATATTTTTCTTCTCACTCCCCCCCCCTCCCCTTCACTCTCTCTGCTTACGTTACACAAGAACACAGAGAGCTGAAAATAGCGCTGCTGTCCTCATGTGATGTGAAATTAAAAGCACACTGGAGCGGAGACGCTTGCTGCCGGAGAACGCAACACTTGTTTCACTCCATTTGACAATCCCTCCATCCGGCCTGCAACACCACCTCCATCCGTCCGTGCAAGGGTACTTTTCACCACAGCGAGCTTTTTGGAATATGATGATGTACATGTGATTGTAATAAAGAGATTTTAATTAGCTATGACACCAGGGTTTTGTGTTTTCACTGATTACAACAATTCCCTGAAATGCAGGAAATGCTCACACAGTCAAATATGAGCAGAATGTATCGGGTTGATTTAGTCAATGATAACTGGCTAGAAATAGAAATCCAATATTAATTTTATAACATTAAAAAGTCAAACAGATGACCTCTTCAGTTATTAGCCAGGACCCACATCACTTTAACATACACATGAATTCATGATGGGTCATTCCTCTTTAAATTATTGAATGGATATTTCAATGCAT